GAAACTAATTAATTTAGTTTCACAATTGGTAAGGGCCATATTACTATGTAACATAAAAAATGAATTTGATAGTTGTACAACACATTAGAAAAAAGAACTTCCATTTAAAATTTTCCGTTAGTCCTTAGTTCCTTAAGCAGCAATTTATGGATAATTGTTAGCATGTGTGTGAAGTAATCGAGTGGTGTCGTTATAGCAATGTGGCCAAATATCGCATCAATCACAGCAATCACATCAATCTGTTCCCAAAGTCAAGGTGTGTGTCATGCAGGAGCTAACCGCAGCCCTAGGCTGTATATTTTGCCCCTTTGTTTAATTTCCAGTGGTCTTTGGCCAGTGTTATAGCAAGTTTGAGGCTCGCTTGCTGATGGTAGTGGACCCACTTCACTGTTCCTGCTGGGAGCGCCTCCACAAATTGCTGCAGTACGAGGAGGTTCAGCAGCGGAGCTTCTTCCTTGTTGGCCGAGGTCTCATCTCTGGCTACTGCATTGTGCATTAGCATATGCAAAGGGCCTGTCCCCCAGCTTCATCCGTCCTCCTCAGAAACGGCGGTAGTGGCCCTCTGATGCCCTCTACCCAGTCGGTGTAGAATTACCTGGCAGACATTGTAAAAACAGCCCCTTGCTGCTGCTGAAGGTTGAATGGCACTATTTGGGCCTCCCCCAACAGAAAAAGCAAGAACTGCGACACTGTTCTCGCTCCCATCAGCTGCTCATGGTGCATGGCAGTCCGCAGCTCTCTCCTTCAGGCCCCAGCGTTCCAACTGAAACAGGGGAGGCATGATTGAACAATGGCTGCCAGCCATGCTGAACCCACAGCACCATCCCTGGATGTTGCCTTGCACGGAGGGAGAATAAATAACAGACTGTGACACTTGCACTTCGATTAGTTGATTAGTAGTGCATGATGATAGCAATAAATCAACAAAAGGATCAATGAGTGCATTTCTGGCTCTGGTCACACCCCTCATTCTATGATGTCATTCTAATGGTATGTTGTCCAGGTCATGGAGGACGCCATCAGACTGAACAATGCTGTGGACATCCATCAGGAGTATTTCAAGGATGAGGAGAAAGTGGAGGAAATTCAGGAATCACCATCAGCCTAGATCATCAATGTCTTCAGGTATGGCTGACATGAGGGGTGTTTGGCATCATAGTCATTAATTAAAGCATTCTGTCCTCCTCGTTTATGACATGCGGATGATGGATAACCTGAAGCTTCTTGTTTTTTGCGCAGAACATTATGTACATATTGAGTTAATAAGCATCACTGTACCATGTCAACCAATCAAACAATTATATGGAAACATGGCATTTGGTTGTTTAGGAAGAGGGGGAAGTTTTAGGAGTGAGAGAGCGAGTAAGTGAAAGAAGAGAGAGCAAGTTTTGAGATGTGAGAGGTGTGTGACGTTTAGCGTGTATGGAGTCTATAGGTAGTTTGATGTCTTGTGTAGTTAGTGTGTAGTGTAGCTGTTGTTTTGTTTTGTGTGTCAGTTATACTTGTTAACTCAAAATACTATTAATAAACTCAATACTAGTGAATGTCACAGTTGTCGCAAAAGAGCCACCGACGAAGGATTGCAGTGTAAACGCTGTCTCCAGGTGAAAAACAGGAGAAGTGATACACCTCCTGTTGTCAGGTGTGCAGTGTTTAGGCCTGTGGTGTTCTCCTCTGTCTTATAGTGGACAGAAACAGTTTTTTGGAGTGGCACAAATAATGTGTGTACCTTCTTATTTAATGCAGAACACCTGATTGTTCTGTAAATAGTTTTAAATGCTTATATAAAAAGCCTTTACTGCATTTTTAGGTAAAAGAATTTCTATTTGCATTTCAAGTTATGAAGATATTCTGTTAAAAATGTTTGTGGTGTTACAGTAAAAACGTAACACCCAATCTCTCTGATTGGTCAAAGCAAGAGTCTGCCTATCTGAAATTGCTCTATTGATCACTGTTGTTTTTTTCATTGGTAAAGGGTAGGGCCACCTCTAGTTTAAATTGCTTTATCGTTGGATCGGGAGGAGGAGCCACAGCTCAGGGTTTGCTTCATGAGTCAACAAGATTGTCATTTTTACCTACACTGGCCGATGTGTGAAGATGCACCTGACTCTCTTGGGGATTCTCGCTCCAATACAATCACCTCACAATGTGTTGGAGCATGTGTAGACTGACTAATTCAGATTTTGTCATGGTCCGGGGGAGTTCTGGATTTTTCCAGAAAGGTGGTCTCAAACATTCAGTGCCAGGATGTCGACTAGCCCTCGTTAGTGAAGGCTTCACAGTCATAGAACCTCATCATAGTTAAACTCTGTTTTTAATTCTGTTTTTCCCTCTGCTCTCAGCAGCCTGCTGGATGCCAGCTCTTCACCTCCATGTTCCCGACCTCAGTCCGACGCCGGTCTGCTCGCAGCTTCTTTGTTTGTTCTACTTCTCGCTCTTAGTTCATAGTTTTAGGTCATTTGCATTTTGGTGTTCACCCCACAGTTTGTGTCACTCTAATTGCTGTAATAAACAGTTGCGTAACATCCACACCTTGCAACTCCGAGTGTTGTCTGCACCTGAGTCCATTTACCTGTGTTTGGCCGCTCGGCAGTGACAGATTTTCCTTTTTTGAATAAAAAAAACAACAAGTAAAAGTAGAAAAATTTGCATTTCCTGCGAAAATGCAGTGTGGATGCTGTATAGCTGAAGCTGTCTGCTGAAAATAGTTGAAAATAGCTGAAGAAGCTGAAGAAATCAAAGTCAGTGTTTAAAAAGTTGTTGAAATTTTAATAACTTTGCAGGACAACATCAAGTTAACAAAAATGTAAAAACTTAGCAGAAATGCAATAACTAATAAACATAACAATTCAGCAGAAATGTTGTAGTTTATCAGAAGCTACAACTTAGCAGAAATGTAATAATTTAGAATAACATAACATAACAAACAAAAGTAGTGTAACCTAGCAGAAATAATATAATTTAGTAGAAAATTAAAAACTTTGGAGCAATATTACAACTTATCAGAACTGCTATAATTTTGCAGAAATGTAATAATTAGGCAAAACTGTCATCAAATAACAGCTGAAAAGACTGACGTAACTTCAAAGTTACTTGTTTAACTGTGAAAAATTACCAGAAACATTAGAAAAGGAAGAAAACCAGCCAGCAGATAAACTGATGTGGAACAAAACCAAGGTAAAATTGCAGAGTTTACACAGCTGGTGAAATCTAAAAATGGCAAAAAAACAAAACAAAAAACAAAACCCACACAAACAACATTTAGGTAATAAATGCACAAGATGCTGCGGTCAGAGATAAAAACACCCAAAAATAATGTTATTGAAATGCCAAAGAGTGGCAGAAAGTTTAGAAAGTAGAAAACCTGTAGTAGAAAAGTAGAACATTCAAATATTTTTAGAAACATATGATACAAAATATTTACTCAGTTGTTTCCAATGATTACAATAATGGCATACAGAAATAAAAATCCCATTTGGGACAAACAGAAAAATATTAATAGAAAATGCAAATCAAATGAATCTAAAATCTATACAAACAATTGAAGCATCCGTTGGAATTGTGAATATATCCTTGTTTGCCATGTTTATGTTTATGGCCCTAAGATGCGCATACACATGATAGGCTATTAACTGCAAAAATATACACATATATAAACAGCAAGTGAGAGACAAAAATA